GTAACACCTTTTGTAACCTATGGAATGAAATAAAGTTATTGAGTATTGAGTATTGAACCACATATGACCTGACGGAACCTTGAGGGACCAGTCAGCTTGGATATAGGTAAGGAAGCTCCGTCTAATATTCTCCCTTTTTGAATGGCCGTAGTATAGAACGCTTCCCCTTATTGTTTAGTGTAATTAGAGATTTTCCACTTTGGCCTTAGGAGGCCCGACCTACGTATGTTCGTTGAAACTCTGCTGAATGGGCCCCAGAGGATTTGACATTTATGGGAGAAGCCGTAGGCCGTAACAATTGTAAAATTAAATCGTTTTTGTAAGATAAGGTTGCGTTCACACTGGTCTTCTTGGCCTCTAATTCCGGCGGTTGGTATGTTTTATTTTTGATCATGTTTAGATCAAATGTCAACAGCCACTGCAGACCCTGCCACCACAAAGGATGTTCTGATAATTAGTGTGATGTAAGTCCCTTTAAATTCATTTAAAGGGACTTACTTCAAGGATGGCCAGTGGTTCAGGGATGACTCCTTTCAATGAAAACACCCAGAAAACCAACCACAATCAACCACAAACCAACCACAGTCACAAGACAACCTCCCCCCTCCATCACATACCAACCGAACCAAGTCCCCACAAAAAAGTCACAGTACAAAATGCCAAAGAACAAGCCACCCCCAACCACAGCCTACCACCACCCGTCTCACCCCTATTATGATTATAAAAAAAAAAAAAAACTTTGGATCTTCAGACTCAACTTCGACTCTAATCCTTTTTTTTTTACCTTTTTTTTAAAAAAATTTGTAAATCACGACATCCATCCTCATCTTCATACCCCATTTTACTATATAAAATTGTAAATATCTTTTAAATCTTAAATATATTATTTGTTTTTGTAGTATTTTTGTTGTTTTGTTGCTGTTAGGTTAGATTCTTTTATTTTTAATTGTCGCTTCACGACATTTCGGGCCCCACGTTGGGCGCCAAAATGTCGTGAAGCGACTATTAAAAATTATTTAAATTAAACGCAAATTTTTTGTAAATGGTCAAGAGGAAAGAGTATTTATGTAGAATTATCGAAATAGAAACAACAGACCGGTAGCAAATTTGAATATAATTGTCATAGCGACCAAATCAACAACGATGTCAAAACATGTCAAATTTTGGTTTTAGGCTTGTAATAGAAAAACGGCAAGATTTAAGTGAAAAATGAGATATTATTGATATAGGAAAAAAGGTAGCGCAACTGCACGCACAAAGCCCGAAATTGCAGAGTTACGGAAAACTAAATAAAAGATCAAAAAAAGGTAGACTCCATTGACACCAATTTAAAAGTGCTGATAATGTGAAAATACGAAGTAGAAATGATTTGTTATTGTGTTCTTATGGTTTAAAATCGTTACAGGATCCTATGGAAATAAAGGTGATGTAAAATATCCAGTTTTGAGGTGAATGCAGAAAATCGAAACAGAATGGAAAAATGAATTTAAATTCCTTTGTAGCACAATCCGCAGAGTTATCTTCAGATCGAACATGGTATCAAGATTATGATGGGATGACGTTGAGTATTGTACGTACCCTGTTGGCAACATTCCATCTATTTACGTCACCATTTAACCAACCAAGAGCTACCATGGAATCAGTCCATGGGTATACCTGCACGTTTTTTGGCATAACGTCCATGATTTTTTCATAAGTTGTGATAGCAGTAACGCGCCATAAAGCTCAAGTATAGGCAATGTTAGCTTGTTCTCCAAAGGTACCAACTTTGTTTAAGCGATCGCAAGCATCGATGTGAACTCGCTCTTATGATTTTCTGTAACTGCGTAAATAACACTAGCCTAAATCTTTTCGAATTCATCGCAAAATCCATGAAATACGTGTAATTAACAGTGGTAGAGCCATGCGGCAGCTTTTGCTGTCGTAAGGATGGGCCGGCTCGAAACGGGGTGGTACCTCGACCTCACAGAATACCAGCGTGAAGTAGAGGTTTACCTCTGCGTTTCTCTTGGTGAGTGCAGGTGGCTGGATGCCCTTTATACTGGAAATAAGGCATTCCATCTTAGTCCTCACGGGTGACAACGCATCTGCATTTTGATTTGTAATAGAGGATAGATGTAGATGTCTATGGGCCGCAGAAATCACTTACCATCAGGTGAACTGCGTGCTGGTTTGTTGCCCTTGTCCTATAGAAAAAAACACGTAATGATTCTTGTCGCCTAAGTATCTCGTGATCTTGATCTGAACTATGTTTTGAAAATCACACTTCAGCTTTATTCACTCGTGGGTTATGTTTTCAGTCAAGCGTGTATACCAATCAGCTGCTTTTTCAGACCAAGTTCGTTGAAATAGAATCTTAACTCGGACATAAAGTGGGCAAAGGTATCCTAGAGGATCATACACGTTTGAGATGTTTAATAAAAGCTGTCGTTTTGTTATGACGTCATTACTGGTCTCATTTTCGAATATATTCTTGAACACCAGGTGTGTCCAGTTGATCTGCTGACAGATCTTCAATCAGTTCCTTTGCATTACTGGAGCATTTGCGAATATTCCGGATTATCTCTATTTGTAATTGTTTCACTTGAGATATATCATCACAGCCTTCAAGAAGGTCAACCATGTATAGTGACGTCATTAGTGCAGCAGCAGCCAGGGGAACCTTGTGTGCGTGATCTATAGTCAGTTGCTTTAAAGTTCGCATTCCGAGATAGGGAGCCGCCTTCGTACCGTAGGTGACTGTTGTTAGCATCGTTTATATCGTAAATTCACACTTTTGTATAGAATATGTGTTCGTAATACACAGTCATACACGTAATACACAGATTTAGAATAAAAATGCAGACGCATCGTTATCCTTGAAGACTAAGATGGAATGCCTTTTCTATGAAAAAAGTTCCCTATCTACTACACTCACTAAACGAAAAATCGAGTGGGACTGTATCGGGGCACACGGCCTTTGGTTTTAACGTGAAACGTCTATTTAATTGAATTACAGGTGCGTTGCCGGCCTTATAAAAAGGAGTAAGCTCTTTTCTTGAAGGTCCCTAAGTCGTACCAGTCCCTAAGTAATACCCATCCTCTGGCGCTCCTCCCTACCCTGGCGCAAGCTATTGGCCGTAACAGCGAGCTGACTATATATGCTAAATAATGACACTAAATTTTTGTTTCTAAGACTAACATTTTTGTAATTATTAAGGTAAGACCATATAGACCTATTCGAAACGGTCCACTTTTCTAACTTGGTACCAGTATGTATCTGACTGGTGTGATTTTAAAGAGTTGTCATGTCAAAACTGCAGCATTATGCTGCTATTTTACTCTGGTTATCGCAAGCGTAAATATTCCCAAGTCAAGCCAGCCCATTCTGCAGCTATATAGGTAGAACATCTGCACCATGGCTCTCCCACGTAATTTTTACTAGCTAAATAAATATTTTAAATAGAAATCTCGCATTGCCACTAACATTTGTAATAATTCCGTTAACTAATTTATGTTAGCTTAAATCGTTCGTGTTCGGATTAGAAGTGGTTAGCGGCAGTAGACTTTCATTTTTTAATTTTTTTTCAACATTTACATTGAGTTTGCATTTCGTACTCCTAACTGTTAGGCTACTGCCACTTAAAACAGAATCAGTTCATCATCATGTAAGAGTGTGAGTCGATTTCACGAATCAGTTCGCTGCTTTAGACATCAGTTTAAGAATTATTTTCCATTCAAACCATCGTAACATAAGCCTCCCCCATGGATTATCTCATAAGAGGGATTTTGCCATATTTGCTACGCCTCACAAGTGGGTTAGCAAAGACAGATTTTTATAATTTGATTTGTATTCAGAAAGTTGCTGCAGCCCATTTCATGTTTTGGTTTCCCTTTGTCATCACTTACGTCTCCCGCGAGACAATATAGGATAGTGGACATTCTAACACCCTCACGACACGGTTTCACAAACTATTTTGTGTATTTTTTTTATTTGATTATAAATAGAATATTAGTTTATGCATTTTTTTTTTCTATACTGCTACACTTTATACGTGGTAGAGCCATGCTGCAGCTATATTAGTAGTGTAGTTGTAGCACGAATGGGTCGGCTCAAACGGGGATGGACCACGCTCTCACAGAATACCAGCGTAAAATAGCAGTTTAACACTGCTGTGTTTCGTATGGTGAGTGTAGAGAACCGGAGACCCTTTTTACTGGGAAATACGTATTCCATCTGAGTCCTCACGGGTGACAACGCATCTGCATTTTGATTCGCAGACGAGGACAAATGTAGATGTCTATGGGCCACAGCAACCACTTACCATGAGGTGGACTGTGCGTTCGTTATTACCCTATCCTATAAAAAAAAAACTTATGTTAATACTTTGATAGCCGATCACGACCCTGGGTCGTGTCGCTCAGTTGTGCTCCGTACGCCGATCATTGCGCCCGACGCGCAATCGCCGACACTCAAAATGACCAGCACGTGTCATATTATTCCTTTCACGTCCAAGTCCATGAAATGGTGGAAGAAAATGTTACTGTCTAGTATGTAATATTCCACTCTGCCACTATATATAATAATTCACCGTGTAGGATTGAGAAAAAACCACGTAATCACGGACTTATATTAATGTAATTTTTTTTTGTAGAAAATGGGTGTTATTGTTTTGTGTTTTTTTTTTAATAAAATAAAAATTTATTTACTTTGTTTTACTTGTTATTATAGCATATACGAAAAGAAGCAAATATATTACTTTTTCAGTTCTTTTTAAATACTTAATAATATACAAAAATGCCGTAAATGGCCGGTGTATAGGAGAATGCGCGCTACAAAATGCTTGGCTGTCAAAGTGTTAAATACTGTTCACTTTTTGGGTTGACTAGTAGAGAATGCTAAGGAATAAAGTCCGCCTGAAAGAGACTAAATAAAAAAATCTCGCAGCAACTTATATATTATAGAAGGCCTTTAGATTGTCTTAAATTGGGCTATCTCTATTTTTATTGTTACATTTTAGGTCAAAGTCTCAAAGAAGCAGGATTTGAATCGTGGAGTCATGGACAGCCAAATAATGCAACCTACGGTGAATATTGCGGGGCTATATACAAGAATGATGGGTTATTTAATGATATTTGGTGTGATAACACTGCACCGTTCATCTGTGAGAAGAAACCCGAGAGTCTTTTTTACTACGATAATGATAATAACTAATATTTGTAAAGGGTTTTAAATGAATTAAAAAGATAGGCCACATTATTGAAACGAAATTAATGGTTAAATCTATGTTAGCTCTTAATAATATTATAGATGCGTAATCATTAACTTTGTATTTAACTATGTGATAACCTGATTTTCTGTTAAATAATTGAAAGAATGAACGATAGCCGCAAATATAAACAATTTATTGTATTATGTACAAAGGCGGCACTGTATTAACTAATTAATTTACTAGAACTGTGTGGGATCTTCCTTTCCTTCAAGTCTTGTTTTTCTTCTTGTTGACTGGAGCTCTTAATTTCTTAATTTTTAATTTTAACATTAACAATCATAAAATGTAGCCTATAGATTCAAATAAAAAGTTTACTTTTATTAACTATTCGTTAATAACTGCTTTGCCTTTCCTTTGTTTTTTATTCCGCACTTTTTGCTGTTCTTTTTTTAAATAAATGTATTGTCTTTCTTATCCTAGCGTATTTTTTCAAGCATATGTTTTTAAAAATGTAATATTATATCTATTGTCATAATAACTATTTATAAGAATAAAGCATCTTAGCTTACTTTTTTCTTTTGTTATTACTTTGCAGTCATCTGGAAACACCTATGTCGATTCTGCTATAAAAAGCTTAGCTCATCTGTTTTTTTTTTATGTAATAGTCAAAGAAATCACATTATTTGCATTTATATCTTGATAAAGAATGTGCATTTACTCAGTTATTTGAAATTCTTTGTCAAAAAAGTTAACACACAGTACTTTCAGTGACTTCAGGCTATTTATTTTTAAATACTCCAATGGCAAAAAACACTTTTTGTCTTTTTTCTCTTTTCTTTCGTCCTGTGCATACGTGGTGTTAATTGATTTTTTTTGATTTGCGTAATACAACTCATAGGTGTGTTCAGGATCAATTTAAGGAACAAAATAAAAGATTTACTTATCACATCAAATAACTCCTTTCATTCAGCAAGTCGAAGATGTATAATTTAAAGTACAAAATTTTGTACAATCGACTTCAATAGAAATTACTAGGAATAATTCAAAAACTGTTTGTTAGACCTTGATCAAATTTATATGGATCCATAGAAAAAGCACCAGCTTTGAAATAAAGAAATAATCATCAAAATCGGTTCACCCACAAAATAGTTATGAGGTAGTATTACACACATACAAAAGAACATACAGTTTAATTGAGTACCTCCTCCTTTTTTAAGTCGGCAGAAAAGAGGTTATTGTACATTGAAAAGGTGTAACTGAAATAAAATAACAATGAAACAACTTAAAAATTGGGTACTACTCACCATTTCTTCGTAAAATCAATGTCGGGCAATTCCAAAAGGTTCATAATTCAGAATTAGTAGTGAAAATGAATAGAATTTACTGTCGTCTTCTTTACAGTACGTCAAAAGTCTACAGTTTTTTTTTATAGGAGAGGGGGCAAACGAGCATGCGGCTCACCTGATGGTAAGTGACTACCGCCGCCCAAGAACAACTGCAACTCCAGGGGAACCAGGGCAATTGCGGATGCGTTGCCGGCCTTTAAAAAAGGAGCAGGCTCTATTCTTGAAGGTCCCTAAGTCGTATCGGTCCGGCAAAATCGCAAATAGTAATCGATTCCACAAGGAAGTTGTGCGAAGAAAACATCTTCCAAATCACACAGTGGTGGACTGCCAATCATCAAGATGGTGTGGATGGTATCGGGAGTTCTGCCGCGATGTGCGTTCGTGAAATTTGGCGGCTGAGATTAATCCAAACAATTCCTCAGAGCACTCCCCATGGTAGATGCGAAAGAAAATGCAAAGGGATGCAACATCTCTTCGCAGTGCCAATGAATCAAGCCGATCGGAAAGGACTCGGTCGTCGACGATTCGAGCCGCTCTGCGCTGGATGCGGTCAAGTTGAAGGAGCTGGCACTGGGGAGCCCCTGCGCAGAGATAGGAACAGTATTCCATGTGAGGCCGAACCTGCGCCTTGTAAAGTTACAGGCGGTGTGCCGGCATGAAATACTGTCCCGCTCTGCTGAGCACGCCAAGCTTTTAGAGGACAATTTGGCCTTCTCTTCCAAGTGACCACGAAACTGCACGTCACTCGAAATGTCGACGCCGAGGATTCCGATACTGGCTGAGGCATCAAGGGGAGTGCCTTGAAACTAAGGAGATACGATAAAGGGGTTCTTTTTAGCGGTAAACTTGTGTCTTCTGAGGATTGAACTGGACTAGATTTAGTCGCCCCCAATCCGAGAGTTTGTTCAGCAAAGATTCGACTTCAGACACAAGTTTGTTACGATACTCGGTGACGTTTTCCCGAGAAATATTGGCACGGCCGGTGTATAGAGCATCACCAGTGCTGTCATCTGCATAGCAATGAATGTTACCAGTTTGCAACATATCATTGATATGCAGAAGAAACAGCGTTGGTGATAGCACACAGCCTTGTGGAATACCAGCGTTAATAGGCTTGTAGTCGGAGCATGCACCGTCTACAACGACCTTGCTGCTCCGATCTGCAAGGAAGCTGGTGATCCAATTGCAAAATTTCTCGAGAAGCCCATAGGAAGGGAGCTTCGAAAGAAGCGCTTTGTGCCAAACCGTATCGAAGGCCAACACTAACTCCAAACTAACGGCCAACACCTCCCCCTTGGATTCTACTGCCTCCACCCATCTATGAGTCAAGTAGACCAGAATATCACCAACTGATCGACGCCGACGAAAACCATATTGGCGGTCACTTATCAGGTGGTGATCCTCAAGGTTTTGCATGAGCTGGCTGTTCATAATGGGTTCCATTATTTTGGAGAACAATAAGGTGATGGCGATAGGCCAGTAGTTGGAGGGGTCTGAGCGGTGGCCTTTTTTAGGGATCGGGTGGACAAAAGCTGTCTTTCATGATTTCGGGACTACGCCTATGGAGTAGGAGTACCGGAAAACACGCATTAGAACCGGTGCCAACTACGGAGCACACGTCCTCAGCACAATTGGGGGGATTCCGTCAGGCCCACTCGACTTGTGAATGTCCAGGGAGAGGAGTGCTTTACGAACCGAGCGCTGTGAGAACCGCACATCCGGAATGGAGCACTCACACACACGTCGGCGGTGTGTTCCCCCCGTCATGAAGAGTCGAGTTGGACGCAAAAAGGGAGCCTAAAAGGTCGTCTTTCTCTTTTGCAGCGTTGGCCAGATTATCCGGCGGGAAGCAAACCCGCTCCTATGGGCAGGATGCAAAGAAAGACCGAATTTCCTCCCAATCCGCCGACCTGTAATGCCAAATACGGCGGCAACCTGCAGAATGCAACCGCGAGGGGAGCGTGAGTGGCACCACACTCCGGATCAGGAAATGGTCCGTAGAGCCGAGAGGAGCATCGACAGAAACCTGATATCCGTCCGGATGAAAGGTCAGCAGAAATTTCAACAGGGAAGGTGTATGATCCTCCACATCTGGAATCCTCGTAGGCGAAGTAACGAGTTGTGTTAGACCATATGCCTAAGCAAAGTCATAAACAGATCTCCCCGTATAATCGGTTAAACGTGAACCGAGCCATTTGTCGTGGTGTGCGTTAAAATGGCCTGTAGTCAGAGCCCATAAACCACAGCGAGGGCCCTTGGACGGAAGTTGTGGTGAGTCAGTGTGCGAATGTTACGCCCATTCCCGTTATCATAACATCGGATGACGTAGCTGGAGCGGTCCGTAGGGCCCCGAACTGGAAAAGTACAGGACTCAACGGACTGCATCACTACTGGCTAAAGGGGTTTGTGGTATGTCACGCTGTGCTCAGCCAGCAGCTTCAAGAGGCTCTCGACCAAAAGTCACTCATGAGCATCTTCACTACTGGGATCACTCATTTGGTTCCTAAAGACTGGGATTCCACAGACCCGAGCAAATACCGCCCCATAACGTGTCTACCTACCATATATAAGACACTAATATCCATTTTCATTGTGAGAATCACTCGTCACCTGAGCTCAAATAAGGTGATATCGCACGCTCAAAATGGATGTCGGGGCGGTGGTCGTGGAACCAAGGAGCCACTCCTCATTGACGCGGTCATTGGCAAGGTGGTTAATACGCAGCCGTAGGAACCTCTCCGCCGCCTGGATAGACTACAAAAAGGCATTCGACTCGGTGCCTCATACATGGCTTAGGAGGGTCCTCGAGCTGTATAAGGTCGACTGTACAGTTCGAGACTTCCTCGGGCAGTGTATAGGGCAGTGGAGTATGATCCTTTGTCATTTAGGCGAGCGGATGATGGCTGCGGAAAACCACATAAGGATAAGAAGGGGTATCTTTCAGGGCGATTGTTTGAGTCCAATTTGGTTTTGCCTCCCTCCGAACCCTCTCAGTATCTTACTGGAGGGTTCCGGGAGGGGACTTCAGCTTTGGAAAAGAGGTACAAAAGTGATCCACTTTTTCTATATGGATGATCTTAAGTTATTCGCCTCCACTTGCTCTCATCTTATGGAAATGCTAAACATCACTTTTGATTTTAGCAATTCTATAAGAATGAAGCTGGGGACGGATAAGTGTGCGGTGCTCGATGTCGAAAGGGGTAGAGTTGCTTACTCTGAGTGTGTAGACTTATCTATGCCCATAAACATAAAGACCCTATCCGAGGCTGAAACATACCGATACCTGGGTATATTATAGAACATATCATAACTATCGATGAGGCGGACATGAAACAGTCAGTTTGCGATGTGTTTTATGCACGCTTGACAAAAGTGTTTAATAGTCTTTTGTCGGGCGTTAATAAGACACATGCATATAACGGTTGGATCATGCCTGTTCTCAAGTATATATTTGGCATACTCATGTGGTCTCAGACCAAACTGAACGGTCTGGTTAGAAAAGTCCGCACTATTATGACGTCGCACAGGATGCATCATCCAAGGTCGTTGGTAATGAGACTGTACTTGCCGCGGAAGTATGGTGGACGCAGCTTTTTAAGTGCACTTACCATGCATAATCGCGAAGTGTGCAGCCTCCGTAATTACTTTCTGACGAG